CTGTTCTTAGCTGCTACTGCAGAGGTAAGTGCTCTACGAATGATGTGAGGAAGAGAAGGGTTCTCTGAGGCATTGATATTTAAGCAGAAAGATCAGTCATGAACCATGATTTGGGGCAAGAGCCCCCCCAGGCAGAAGGAATAGAAAATGATTAAGTGAAATAATACTGAGATCCCAAGCAACAGACATCATAAGGCCTTGTACATAGGCTATGTACAAGTAGATCTGGAAGAGAACTGAGAGCCAATGTGCTGGGACCTATGCTTTAAAAGGTCACTCTGATTATGGTGCGTACAGTGGGCTGTAGGGGACAAGAAAAACAGGGAGACCAGTTAGGAGGCTCCAGAGTGATCAAGCAGCCTGGACTAAGGTCATTAGAAGTGGCTGGATTCTGGACATTTTGGAAAGAGGGCTGCTGATAACCAGGCTGGGAGAAGGAACTAAGGATGGCTCCCAGTTGGCAGCCTGCATTCCAAGTGAGGCGGGGTGAGACCAGGGACATGTAGAGCAGCAACATCGATGAGACAAGCAGGCGAGGACGTCCATCTGGAAGCGGTTTGACATCGAAGGCTCCGTAGAGCTGGGGGAGAGCTCCTGGTCCAGGACCAAATGAAAACAACACTTTAAGCTCCCCTGAGAACCTTTTCTCGTCTCAGTTCTTGACCCTGCAGGAGCTGCACAGAACAGACGCTCAACACCCACCATGAGGAGCACATAAAGACAAAGCGAGAGGTGGTTTAGAGGGTGGTGATCACAGGGCCGGAGAAGAGGCAAGAATCTGCGGGGCAGCGTCTTGGCCAAGGAACTGGGAGGGGAATAAGGTTCTGGGGCTGTGGACTGGATATGCAGTAGGGTCCCTGAAGGCTGGCTCACCTTACCCAAAGGGAAGCAAAAGAAAACAAAAGCAGTGTGTGCTTGGGCCAGGGGAACACTACTGCTGGAAGTGACTGCAAGAAGAATACTGGCAAAGAGAAGCAGGGGGCCATGAGTACCTGGGAAAAGTCTGGAAGACGATGGAGCCTCCTTCTCAATGCTGAGGAAGGCCACATATCTGCAACAGTTAGGGATGAGAATTCAGCTAGAAATGTTTCTTTTCTAATATAGATGAAAACTCTAATGGAGCAGGAGAGCTCGAGAGACCACCCTGAGACCCAGCACTCACTCTCCCTCCGGGGAGGGCTGCCGCACTGCCTTGGTAGCATCCAGGAGGCACGCAGCCCTGCTCTCAGGCATCTCTACACGAAACTTCGGGCAGAATGGCAAAGCCCAGGAGCAATGCCTCCTAGCCCAGCTCCTTTGTTACCTACCTACCACTCTGTTCCGCCAGGGTAGACAGAACACTGCTACCCACAAAGAACTTGCACTGGCAGATGCGCAGACGACCACAGAAGGCAAACAGGGCGGTGGGAACAAGACCAGCGTCAGAGGCAGAGACAAACCGCAGGGCAACTGCGGGGCGGTCTGGCCTTCCACTACCTTCTTCCTTAGCGCTCTGCAGCTCTCTGTCAAGTTTGCTCAACTCAGATACGGGGCGGGTCTTGTCCACAGTCTGCTCTCAGTGAACATCTACGGAAGGTGTTCTCGAAGGCTGAGGGAATGGCTCTGTGCTTAGAAGCTACAGGGCAAAACCCCGGCTAGCACCTTCCTGGCTGTGTGTCCTCAGGAGAGTTCCTTAACCTCTCTGAGCTGCGGGTTCCGTCTACACACTGGGATGTTAGCGCTCCCTACCTCTCTGGCTTCATGGGGGTGGATGGAACAAGCGAGTCCAGTGCTGCTTATGAACTTTATTAACTGAGAGGACAGAGCTCGCCTAGCGCCCCAGGGGCCGGGCGCTGTGCCCGGGGCAGGTGCCTACGCCCGGGACTCGGCCCC